CACAGAATCTAAATCAGGCTCAGGCTGTGAGCTGGCAGCACAGAGCCCAACACAGGGCTTGAACCCACAAGTCGTGAGATTTTAAGACTCCTGATGAAGTCGATGCTTAACTAACTCAGGCCACCATGTTCTAATAAGAAATGTTCTAATGCTGCTCTTTTGCATATAAGTTTACAAGAAAAACAAAATACAAAGTAGTTAGCTGGTGAAAGCCAGGTCAGTGGTGTGTGTGGTTGTTTAGAGGGTCTCTTTATTTCAGCTCAGGTCATGATCTCACAAAGTCATTATTGAGTCCTGCATCAGGCTCCACGCCATGTGTGGAGCCTACTTGGACTCCTTCAGTTCTCTCTCTCTCTCTGTGCCTCCCTCTCACTGTATGCACACATGCTCTTTTTCTCTCAAACTTAAAAAAAAGAAAAATAATGAGTTCACTTCCACAAGATCAACTAACTGAAATAACTAAATCCCTTACTTGTAAATGAGGCATAATGTTAGGTGGTATGGATACAGTGAGTGACCTGAGCTGAAGTCGCATGCTTAACCAACCGAGCCACCCAGCTGCCCCAATAAGAAATGTTCTAATGCTGCTCTTTTGTGCATATAAGCTTCATAAGAAAAACAAAATAAGTAAGGGTTAGCTTGGTGAAAGCCAGGGTCAGTGGTGTGTGTGGTTTAGAGGGTCCAACTCTTTATTTCAGCTCAGGTCATGATCTCACAGTTCATGACATTGAGTCCCACATCAGGCTCCACGCTCACAGTGTGGAGCCTACTTGGGATTCTCTCAGTCTCTCTCTCTCTCTCTCTCTCTCTCTGTGCCCCTCCCTCACTCGTGTATGCACACATGCTCTTTTTCTCTCTCAAACTTTAAAAAAAAGAAAAATACGAGAGTTCACTCTTTAATAAGATCAACCAATCAGGAAATAACTTGTTAAATCCCTACTTTGTACGAGGCATAATGTTAGGTGGTATGGATACAGTAGAGAATTAAACACATCCTATCCT